GTGATGTGTTTACCTCCAGACGCACATGATGTCGTGCATTTGAATGGGGCTGTGACCTCTTAGCTTGGAAGGGAAAAAAGTGAATGAACTACATAGGCAGTGACTGTGAGTCTTCAGCAAATGATTTGTGATTTCGATCTCCACTGGGTTGTGTCCTCAGCTTTCAGGGAAGAAACCAGAGTCCCTACCCTGTCATACAGATGCTGGTGTTTGTATCTCAGCATTTGTTACCTTTGTAGTATCTATAGACAGAATCTTTCCCTCCTAATACCAAGGAGGTTTGTTGGTGAACTCGAAACATATTGTAACTCCATTGAAGCACCTTTCAAAATCCAAGTTACAAAGAGCTTCACAAGGGATTTTTTTTTTAAGTCATAAAATCATCAGTTTTTAAAAGACAGGAATAAATACAGTTTAGTGTTTAAAAGCCAGCACAGTGTTCGAAAAGGTAAAAACTTTAAGAAACAAGATAGGAAACTAAAACTTACGTAAAATCAGGAAAGATGTTTAGAGGCTTAAAAGAGGTCACTGACTCAACCGATAGGATTTCCCAGGGCCGATTGTTCCAGATCCTCTGCTAATTATCTGTCCTGTTTAGTTTTCAGTAAGCTAAAATGTAAAATGTATCATGAAACACACTGGCAGTCAGTATAAAGAGGCTGAAACTGTAGTGATGTGGTCACATCTCTTTGGTCTGGTTGAAAAGCCTGGCAGCTGAGTTCTGTATGCTCATGTTGAGTTTGGTGGCATTTGCATAGCAGTGAAAGTTCATTCATACAGTGCTTAGATGAGTAGTAACATACAACACCCAGTTCTAATCCCCACTGCTTGCTGCACCTCACTCTTATATAAGGAGACAGAGAATCCCAGAGGTTTTATTGACAATAGCTGGAGACTAGACCTGAGAACCCAACCTATGTTTCCTGAACAGTCAGCATGTTGAGATTAATAGAAATTTAAGAGCTGAACAGGAGGTTCTATTGCAGCTCATTTAGAGATCAGTTGTAGCTTCAAACTGGGCAGTTTTAGTGTCATGCCTTGCTCTGAAACCAGACCAAATAGTCAAAGGCATTTAGTCGTTGCAGCATGGCTTTGTTTCACATGAATTGTTGATTCCATGGTCAATTGTGCAGCAGTTGGTGACTTTCTAGACACAGGGGAACTGAAAGCAACATGGAAGCGCAGTATGTCAACATTTCCTAGTAGTGTGGGCTGATGTGCAGAAGCTGTGGTCAGGGGGATTTACCTGTCTTTCCCTCTCTATAGAATATCAGTCGCTGTCACCTCATGTGTTCTCTGCTGTTTAAAAAAGTATGATTCCAAATAAGAACTGTACTGTCAGAGTTAGAAGTGATGGTTAAAGTGTGCGTAATAAATCCTGTATGAAGGTGGCGTTCCTGGTAGCCAGGAAATGCAACATCACACACACCAAAATATATCACAGTGACACTATATGTAGTGGAATGAGCTCTCTCTCCTCTCATTTATAGCAGTTTAATATGATAGTGGAATGCACCAAAGACTGTCAGAGACATGACAAGAATCAAATTTCTGACTACCTGATGATTTGTAGAGGTATCTTAAGTAATGTGTGTGTATCTCCATTATGCTGTGATGACCCATATTGTGGGCGGTTCTAGTTCGGCTATTGGTTCTGTGAGTGGCTGTTTGAGGTAATCAGGAGCCACTGTGACACCCAGTGTGTTCCTGGGTTACTTAAGGGCTGACTGCAGTCTAATCTTTTGCTACTCTGCTTCCCTCCGCAGGTAACGCACCAGTCTGGTTATGGGTTAGTTTTCTTTGTTTAGGACGTTTGCATTTACAACACTTGCACAGACATAGTTCATGCAAACATCACACACACATACACACACACACACACACACCACTGACTCCATCTACTCTCACAACCCCATACTGGTTTGGCTTTTAATTTGGTATAATTTAGGTGAATAAAGCCTTTTTTTGAAACTTGGTGTGTCTCTCCTTTTGTTGCGGCCGTCTTGAGCCATGTCATTACAGTGCTTATGTATGTGGGAGACCCTTTGCAATTACTGATAGCTGAAAATGTAAGAATTTTTAAACTAATGAGCATCTTCGATTTATTATCTTTCATTTTAATTCCTGTGTTTATTGCACTATGCTAACTGACTTTTTAAAATGATGCCATTTGCACAAATGTTCTAATTTGTTCTATGAACTCCTGAGCAGTGAACAGTTACTCTCTGTGGATGGAGTACACCAAGTTGTGGATGAGACACATTGTCAGGAACTATTCATCACATTAGTTCAAAAATAGTCCAGCTTACCGGATGTGGATTGCAGGTATAAGCCTGCCATTTCCGCTGCTCATTTACTGTGGCTGCCTCCTTCCCTTCCACCATCTACACGTTAATCTCATCTGAATCTTCTTCATTACAGGAAACAGCAACAATCTTTGAGTAGCAATCAACACACTGAACATTTCAGAGATTTGGTTCATGCAGTAAAAAGGCTCTGCATGTCTTTTTTTAATGAATTATTCATTTTAATGACAGTGCTCAGTCTCCTTGCATGTCAGTGTTCCACCAAAATACAGTGTTGCCAGACCATTGTGACACAGTGCTGTGGACGTCTGTGTTTAATGACATGACATGACTACCAGAGCAACGAAACAGATGTTATTTGATAATTATTTTTGCAATATATAATTAATTAATGTTTAACATTTTTGAATTGCTTTTCTTCTCTGGATAATTCAAAAGATGTGGCAAAGCAGTGCCCCACATTAATTAGCTGCACTCAACAATTTCCATTTTTATTTTCACAAACTTAACAAAAAATATGATTCAGGTCCATGTAAAATGTTGTTCAATAGAAGAGACAAGAACACTGCTGTATGTCCTTGTTTGAAGGCGTCCTGAAGGTGTTCTTAAGGAGAGATATGATGATGGATAGAAATTATACATAAATTACTGAATAAATAAAATGATCAATAAATTCTTTGCCACACTTATTGTTTTTATAATTGAGGGTATTTTTGGTGTCATATTTCCATAAATGTTCTTCTATGCAGTGGCTTTGGCTCTCTTCTACCAGACATTAGTAATATTTTGTACAATACAGAAACATCGACATTTTGAATCCCAGTTAAAGGACAAGTGTGTTATTCTTTCTCTTTCTTTCAAAATCCATAAAAAGATAAATAATATGTTAGCCTGAGCTAATGTTGCTGTCTAATGCAATCCAGTAAACAGCTATGCCACAAAGTCTACTTTTTCATGAAGCTTCTATATGTTCGGTTTTTATTGATGTTATCAGAAAGGGGATCCTTCTGATTTATATTTAGTGATGTCTGGAGGTGTTCTGGGTGGTATCATATTAAAATGAATGTGATTGTGGCGTTGTGTTGCCGAGGCGTTCTCATGAAGTGTCTGATGAGGGGAAATCCTGACTTACGTGTCATAAATGTATACTTTTGAACTATACTATTTCCACTGGTGGATTAGTCCTGATTGGGTGCTTTAGTGAGTATTTGGGGCAGCAGGACGGTACATGTAGGACTGAGTCCTGAATACACTTCAGTGTAGTGATCGTAGGAATGAAGGAACATGTCACACAGTCTCACTGATGTTTTTTTTAATTGGTTTTTGTGTTAGTAAGATCATTTGTTAGTCTTTTTTTTTTTTTAGCAAAGCTGTGAAACATTTGATTTTTCTGCTGTCTCAGGAGGGAGGCTTTAATGCTTTTCCTTTTCACAAGTGGTAGTAAATGCAGTAGAATTGGGCCTTGGGCTGTTGGTCAGACACAACAAGACATTTGAAGACATTGTGTTGTTCTGCTGGAAAATACGGCGGCCATTTTCAGTTTTGTTTTGTTTTGTTTCATTTTATAGACAAAACAAATGAGTTGTATAAAATGTTTGTACAAAAAAAATATATAATCAGCAAATTATTCGTTTGAAAAAAAATGTTAGTTGCAGCTTTCGTTGGAGTGTATGAATGAGTGTGATTCAGCTGAACAGTACTCAGTGTTTGACCTTACAGTAGGATTCTGTTATTCTAAAGTCCAAATTATTATGTCCAGCATATAATGCATAAACAGTTTTGAGGAACGCAGTGTAGTTGAACTGGTCATAGCATGTAAGATGATGTGACAAAATGAAGACTCTGTATCGTGTATATTCAGGCTAAAAAGAGCATTTTACTGGATGTAACGACACTCGGGCTGGTTTCTCTTTCACTGACATGGCTGCTCTCTCTGTCTCTCTGCACCTTGAAGGCTGCATGTAGGAAACACCTGATCACTTAATCCTAATTCAAGTTTCCCATGCAAATGAAAGTTTCGTCGTCATAGAGTGTAACACTAGAAAGGCCAGAGCCGTTCTTTATTTGGAGCCCTTTGGATACAATGGCTTCACAGTGACATAGACTGATGAAGGCCCACATAGCCCCAGCCAGGTATTTTCTGGAGCTGAAAAGCTGCCTTTGTGCTGCTTGCTCAACTCATCCGTGAATGTGCTTGTTAAAAATATACCTTTTCAGTGCTGAGGGCATTTGATTTGAGAGTATTCCATGATGGTACTGAACAGTATTTCCATTGTTCCTGAGGAGATTTCATGCACTATTATGAGATGGTTTTCTTTTTTTATTTTATTCTTTTGTTTTTCCATTGTAGTGCAAACACACCTAAACTCACACATCACACTTTTTTTTTTTTTATTTGGCAGGACAAAATTAGATTAAATGAAACCAGGATGGAATAAAGCAACATCCTAAGACGTCCTCCTGCCCTACAAAAGAGCATCTTATCTAAATTTAGTGATCATTACCAAGTTATACTGCCTACGTTATATGCAAACTACGTCATGCTCACATATGAGGGGAAGCTTATTGCCTACAGGATGTGGCCTTCCTGTGCGTCTCTGCATTTGGTATTGTGTTATGTGGAAGTGGATGAAATGAGTAGAGGTGACAACATCGCCATTCACGATACTGAAGCCTCTCTCTTTTCTCGAACAGACAGAAGCAGCTCTGAGCCTGTGGAGGACACAGACACCACCAGCTTCGTGGCAGAATTTGTGAGTAAAATTTTCTGTATTCTTTCAGTCGTGTGTTTGTTTAACTGTCTCTACTTTGTTTTGTGCTGATTTCTCATTGTCCTTTCTTAGAAAGCAGACTTACAGTAATCTGCTAAGAATTGTAACATAGCTGAACACACTGTACTGTGATTGCGAGCACCCAAGGGCTCATCGAAGAACAAGTTGCAGCAGGCTTTTTCCCGGTCTTTGCACACAAGAGAGTAATTTTCTTCCACAGTTACAAACGCAGTCTCATAAACAGACAGAATATAAAACTTACAAAGAGAGTTAACAAAGCAGACAAACTTGTCTTTCTTAGGTTTCTCTCTTTAGCTCTGTTCTTCCTTCATATTGTTTTCTCTGTTCTTGTCTGTCCCACAGTCCTTGGAGGCCAATTATCCAGTGCAAGTGACAGATCCTCACGGTAACTAAAGATGGTTCATTTCACTAGAATATGTGGGCTATTCCTGTCAGTGTGCAGACATACTGTAAATTCTCCAATAAAAGCTGGTGCATTAGTGGCAAAGTGGCCAGCACAAGCAAATAAAGAAGAGATTAGTTGTATCACACTGGCTTATATGGTAAATTCAGCATAATGTATTTATGTAGTATTAGTTCCATCACCACATCCATCTGTCTGCTGCTTGTAAGTTCCATTGTCTATATATATATAAAGACAAATTGTAAAATTGTATTCAGCTCTCTTAAGCCATATTTTTCATTTGTCGGATCCATGTAAAATTAACCATTGTTTAGATTTAAAATGCTTTGGTTTGCTTCAGAATGCAGCCTCAGATGCTCACTTCGGTTCAATTCAGCTGAAAGATCACAATAGAACAGCAAGTCAGAGCTGTGACTGGAACCTTAGCTGCACCCGGTTATGGCAGCATCCACAAAAAATGAGCATTATGTCATGAGTAAATCACTTCATCTGTGTGAAACATGTGACACTGACGGTCCATAATCAGGTGATTTGCATAATGTTCTGACTAAACTGTAAAATATTCCATGGCACGTCTTCTATCTGTCATGTGTCTTCTTCCACTCGTCCCCACCTGTTTTCATGGGTTACATCTACTGTCCTGACAATCATGGCCACAGTTACTGCAGATGTTTTTGACATTAAAACAGTAGTGTGCGGATTGAGTTCTGTTACTGTGAAAAGCTTCAGACATATTGGTCATTATTGTGTTCCTACAGTGTTTTTTATCAGAATGTGTCTCCAGCAGATGCTGTGACACTCCATCTGAGCTCCATGCCCTCGAGATACCTGAGCCCCTCCTCAGAAGACAGAATCAGACAGGTCAGTACTCCCGCTTTTGATGCATGTGCTCACACGCAACCGTTCACAGTGACATGGGGCCGAGTTACGAAGAATACAGTGTTGCACAAATGTGTACTGAGATTAACGTGCCGAGTTCTGAATTTACGGCTACAGTCTGTATTCATCGTTTACATGTCATCAACATAAACATGTGCCTGGCAAACAGAAATGACATGATGAGAGGTATGTATGGGACAAAGCCAAGACAAGCCAAATAAAAACTGAGGGGACAGAGAGAAAGACAATAAATAGGCAAATGTACTTAAATGTCATAACAATACAAAGAAAAGTTTATTATACTACTTGCATAACTATATGTAAATATAGCGCTGATTGTTTATGTAACTATACCTTCACAAAATATTCTTTTACCATATATGACCCTACAGCAACATAATTCATTTACTGAGGTCACTGAGGATCATTGCACAATCTGTCCTTTTACAAATATACACAAGCATCTTTTGGGTGTCTTCCAAAACTAATCCAACCAAACAGCAATCACCATCATACCCTCATAATATGGGTATGTTGATGCACATGCAATGTGTGAATACTTTCTAATTTAAACTCTGAACACACAGGATGTGGTTTTGCCCAGCTGAACTAGAAGGCGCAGCTGTGAGCATTGCTAATAACAGAGCAGGAACACAGAGGGTAGAACGATGCTAGCATCACTCTGTGTTGTACACTTTCTGAAGGCAGCATTGTTGAAAATGAGCTCAGAGCATAGGAAAAAAAATAGCAGCTGCAAATGAAGAAGAGAAGAAATTTTTCACTTCCAGTCCTGTCCAATCATCAGTGGTGAAAGTATACATCCCTCCAAGGGACAAGCTTTTGACTCTTGCCTTGCCTTGATGTACTGTAGCGTGCAACGTGGCTTTTGTTGAGACATGTTTTACTGCAGAAGCCAAGAAAAAGCAACACATCCAAAATCTGATGTGCATAGGGTTGAGACGTACAACTGCCACAACCAAACTACCACAGCCAGCTACTGTGGGTAGTAAAATTAGCACATTGTAAACAAGGAACAAACAGCTAATTTGCCAAGATGATTGACACTGAATGTTTGTGTCCAATAAACCCCAGTGTTTCACGGCATTGTCTAGTGAGGTCTTCTGTATTTTAGACTTTACAGTGGAACAGTTTTAGTGGCCGTGTCAATGACACTAACAGACATTACCCCTGCATGTTCCACTATTCAGTCAGATTTCGCTGGAAAGGTGCTGTATTAGCTGTTGATTTATGTTAAACAATGGATAGTGAGTGAAAGATGAAGAGAAAAATCACATTTTATTTTTTCATTAAACTAAACATTCAAGCACTAATAATACCACTTCAGTGATTATTGCTAATAACAACAATTTCCCTGAGGTACCTACCAAAGGGATCAATAAAGTTATATCTAATCGAATCTAATCTAATAGAGCTGGCTGATATTGATATCTTTATGTGAGCCATATGGTCAACCAGTGAAAACAATGAGCTCCTGGAGGAAAACATTGGGCTTGTAATAGATCATAATAACAAAAACCTATTAGAGCTGATATTAGACATTTTATCAGTAAGTTCTTGTAAACATTACACGTTTGAAACTGCGTAAACATCGTGTGACATTTATCACAGGGTATTTGCTTTGAAACCATTTCAAATGTATATATAGCACAGAATGACATCTGTTGTGTTAAAAACTAAACATGGAAACTTTGAACACGTTAAAGACGAACAATAACAGTACAGGACGGTTGTTGCATGTGCCTTGCAGATATGTGCACTACCTTTATTGCACATCATGCTGATTCACCTCTTTGTCTCTTCTGACTTTGGCAGCTGTAGATCTTATTTCTGGTTCCTAATTTTCCCAGTGTTGGTAACAGCTGTGGGCACTTGAAAAATGCCCGGCAGATTGATTCCAAGTTTTGTTTCTTTTGTAAATTAAACAATCAAAGAAATCTATCTTCTGTTTTCCCTTTTTAATAGTTTATGGCATTAAAACTTAGTTATGCAACACAGAAGACATTTGAGTTTGATCTACTTCTAGCCATGGTTGTGTTGTTTCTATAGAGGTGCAGAAGTTTAAATTCAGTGAAAAATGAGCCGATAGGGGGAAAAATGTGACAGGAGGGTTAAGTTCAGCTACACAGAGTCATTTTTGCTGTGTCACTGTAGACTTGTAGTCGTGCCGACTGTTTATTTCATGAAATTAACCCAAATAATTTCCCAGAAATGATACTATATAGGGCTGCAAGGTGGCGCAGTTGGTAGCACTGTTGCCTCGCAGCAAGAAGGTTGCCGGTTCGCGTCCCGGTGGGGGCACCGGAATCTTTCTGTGTGGAGTTTGCATGTTCTCCCCGTGCAGCGTGGGTTCTCTCCGGGTTCTCCGGCTTCCTCCTACACAGTCCAAAAACATGTTGAGGCTAATTGGTGATTCTGAATTGTGTGAATGTGAGTGTGCTTGGTTGTCTGTCTCTAAGTGTGGCCCTGCGATGGACTGGCGACCTGTCCAGGGTGTCCCCTGCCTTCGCCCTAAGTCAGCTGGGATAGGCTCCAACCCCCCACGACCCTAATGAGGATTAAGCAGTGTATAGATAATGGATGGATGATACTATATATGTATGTACATCTTGTGATATGAAATAAAATGATTTGTTGAAACTACCTCTTTCGGTGTAGAGTGTGAGTTGTAAAAGGGGAATGATGGCTGTCTTTGATCTTTCTATTTCAGGCTTGTTTGCAGTTGTTTGAGTTCAGACAGTTGGAAGAAAATTGCCAGTAGGCTGCACTGGGAGCAGTAGGACTAATGATGATCATTTGTGTTTCTGTGTTTGTAGCCAGTGGAAGATGTGGAAGAATGCACCTGCCCAACATCTACTTCACCAGGTACATCAGTTCTTGTATTGACAGTGAAGTTGTGTTTAATCACTCTGCATGAAAACTGCACTCGTTTGTGCTGGATTGGTCACCTGAACTATGAACACATGTGGGAGGGGGAGTTGTTTGTTACATTTGCTCCCGGTATGGCCATACACTCTGACGGCCACCAGGAGGCAGAGCTTTTAACTAAAGGAATGATTAATTAATGATGGTAATATTCTATCATTTGTAGCGCACACATTTCTTTGAGCTAATGCCATCTTTCTCGTCCATCTCTGAGCTCAGACTACCCGAAAGAACTGCAGTTGATGAACTGTGAAAAGTGCTGCTGCCCAGCACCTCCTCCCAAGATCAGCGACCTCATGAACGACAAAGATCTGCTGGATTTACTGCGGCTCAAACTGGATCCAAACCACTGCACCATCAAAAACTGGAAGAACTTTGCGAGCCGCTGGGGGATGAGCTACGACGAACTGACCCTGCTGGAGCATCGAACCCAGGGCTCCTTATCGCAAAGCCCCACCCAAGAGTTCTTGTTGCGCTACAATCAGAAGACGGTCACTGAGCTTACTGAACTTTGCCGCATCTATCAGCGCATTGACGTGCTGCGACTGCTGCAGAGCTGGATAGAGAAGGACTGGCCGTCACGCTGGCAACAGACTCATTAACCAGTCCGGCTGTGTATTTAGCCTGTCTCTCATTTTCCGTCAGGGTGCTTTAAGGTTTCTTCTTCTTCCTAAGCTTGAATACATGCTACTACATTTATATTAACTTTAGTAAATGGTCTTATAAAAAAGGTAAATGATGGACTGGAAACTCTCTGTAGAGAATGTCACACAGCACTGACCTTGCACTGAATGCTGTTTTGTCTTTTACCTTTCTCTTGCTATCGCTGGCTGTAGTTAACACAAGGAACGTCACATTCCTGACGAGTCCACGCAGCCACTAATACAATTCTCAGTTGGGAACACACGCCCATATTAATGAGGAGCTTGTATGATCTGACAGCACCACAGATATTAGTGAGCTTACTGTGAGTTTCAGCAGCTACACTGAACAAAAATAAAAACTCAGCATGCAAATGATATTCTTTTCTGACTTAGAGAAAAAGTTAAAATTTCTATGGTTCTGGTTAGCAAAGAGGTTAATTTAGCCAACTGTACGCAAAACCTTTCTGAGCTGTTCAACTGGTGGCAAATTCTCAACCACTGAGGTGATCCACAGCCTGGTCAGGTGTGACTTTGAAGCACAATGATCAGATAGTGTGACCAGTACAGACACTCCTTAGACCACTGACTGTAAAAGCCCACCACAGAATGCAGCTTTATTCAATGTTAAGATGACAAGAGAAGGACTAGAGTGGGCTGTCGACTGCTGAATGCTGTCAGTTAGGGCCGTAGCCTAATGGTCCACAACTCCACTTCTTGTAATTCAGCGATGATTTCAGACAGCTCTGGATGGACGTTGTCCTCCACAACGTCCACCAGCTTTCCCAGGCCCGTCAGGAGGAGTGGGATAACATCCCACAAGCAGCATCGACAACCTCATTAACTCTTTGTGTCACAGATGTGTGACTCATTACTGCCTTGTGATTTGTGGTTATCCTTTCCTATATGGGATGTCCATTCTGTTGTAGCCCTGTCATGTGTTGAAACAACAAATGCGTATTGTCTTATGTTAAAAAGAAAGAACAGAATTTAATCAACTATTACAGCCTCCATTTGTATCTATAGTTGAAGTAGTAATTTCTACAAGCAAAATGTAATTATCAGTCAGCAATTAAACGTAATTATTTAGTTTATCTTTGCTTTCTTGATCATTACTAAACCAGCTGATTTTCACTCTGTTGGTCTAGACTCAGATTTATCAACATGAGCTAAGCAACTTTTTTTTTTATTTATTTTTTTTTTACCCAAATGTGTAAAACTGCATCCTATAGAATATGTTGATGATGTAATTTAGAATCATCAAATGTGTTCTGGATGAAAAAATGTTGCTCTCTGTGAGGTATTATATTGTTGTGTACACAGAGTTTAAACCAGAGACAGAAACACACTGATCAGTTACTACAACCGTGCTGTGCAGGAGAACTGATCTAATTGGCCAAATATCAGTTAATATGTGTCAGCCTGCTTGTCAGAAAAAAAATTCTCATTTTCTGTAAACTTTTCACACTGTTGTAGGTTCAACTGGGTTATCGGATATCAGAATAATTTCCATAAATCACTGTGGTTGAATATCAGGGCACCATCTTCACTGTTTGTTATATTCCAAAGCGTCAGATATTTGCTAAAACACAGTAGAAATTCTCACCACACTGTGCAGCTCATTCCCATGTCTGGCATAGATGGCAATTGGTAAGACGAGCTAACAGAGTGGGGACACTTTCTTATTGAACACGGCAGCCTTCTTAATGATCAACTGATGGCTTTTTGAAAATATTTGCTGTTCGAGACAGAAATATCTCAACAGCTCTTTGATAGATTGTCACAAAATTGTTTACAGATTTGTACATGGTGATTGACTCCACTAACTTCTTGATCCCCTGACTTTTCCTCCACCAATCTTTACATTTTCGTATCGTTCTCAGACAGCGTATCCAGATGGCTGTGATGATCCCCTGCCTTTTCCATTAGCATTGCTATGAAGTTTTACGTGAACTACCTTTTTATCATTTAGCACACACGTTGATGTCCCCCCTCAAGGTGAATTGTATTGAACTTGGTGGTTCCAACAATTATTTTATTTGCCAAATACATTGGTTTATGACAAAATACCTGCAAAACAACTGAGATTTCCAGTTGTTCTTTGTGTGCAGTGAAAATTACTACATATTGGCATGCTGGTGACCACGATGCTGACGTACAGCCTCCCAGATCCACTAACATGACTGTTAATGCCTCTTAGTTTAGCATTAGGCAGTGTGTTTATTGTTTATGAGATATTTGGTTTAAGTTCTGAAATAACGCTCCTACAACCTGAACAACAAGCCACTGTAACAGGATCTGATACAACCGTAAGGAATGTAGCTGAAAGCGGCTATGTGTGAAAATCACAACAAGTGAAAAGATTGATTTGTAAGTATATTTATTTTTCATTTCATACATATCTTCTTAACTTGTAAACCCAGAAGATATTCTGAAAAAAACAAATCTTGTTTTATTTTACAAACCAAAGCTACCAATGTTATTTGTCATTGAGTTTTGTTTTTTTTTATATATTTTAAGAAACAACTTGTCTTTATTGTACTTGTTTTCTTGATATGAAATAAATTCATCAAAATCTGCAAAAGGTTTTATCATTTTTTTAAAAATATATCATCGTCATTGTCATAGCAACATTAAAATCAAAGGCACTCGTGATAAATTCACAGACAGTTAAAATAGAAGTACTTATATTTCTTTTTCTTATTTTTCACTAATATGTGCACATTTTTAAGAAGGATTTGATAAAAATGAAAGAACAGAACATTTGGAAAATATTCAAGCATACAATTGCTTTGTATGGACAAATACCACTACTTTTTTTTTTTTTGTCCATCGAGTTTGTTGAAAATGTGTCAGAAACTTGCAGATCTGTGAAAATGTACTTACATTTTATTTTATTTATTTTAATACATTCTTTTACTTTGGATGTAAACCAGTTAGTCATCTGTTTTATTATTTTCTACATTATATTAGTAAAGTATCACAAAAGAATAAAGTATTTGAGTGATTTATTGAACAAAAATAAACAAATGCAACTCATTTATCCTTTAAAATGTTTAAGGTAAAGTAATTCACTTATCAGAAACTTAAACAGCTCACTGTGATCACATACAATACTGAGGCAGTTATTTAATAAGAAACATACTTCCAAATCATCAGTGTGTGGTTGGGGGTGGGGAAGGGGTGGGGGTGGGGGGGGTGACTTGTATAAATAACAGGAATATACACATAGTTTATAAAAGCAGCTTTATCATTAGGCTATGTTATTATAGAAGAAGGATAGCATTATCTGCAGCTAAACTCTCTTTTATGGTCACAAACTAGAGTGTAGAATTGGTTTAGTTACATGTATTTACAAGATTTCTGGACTGACATTTTATCAGGTTACCCTAGCAAGAAGGACTCAGCTTCTCAATCCTTGATATTAAGGCCGAGCATATTTGAGAGGCTGAGGGACATTTTGTCATTTTCATCTGAAACTTCAGTAGAAATTTCAGGGGCTACCAGGCCCACCACAGAGTCTGGCTTTTCTACTTTGAAAGTACCTCCTCTCACTAAAGCAGAATCTCCTGCTTCTGTAGAGCCACCGACATCAAGGCTTGGGGCAGCGAACTTCAGACCAAAATCATTTTTCTCTTCAGTTGGTGAGACATTAGTCGAGGGGGCTTTATCCCTTGCCATTTTCAATCTTTCCATAATATCAATCTTTTCTCCTGTTTTCGATGTTGCGTTTACTACTGGCAAGCGGATCCCTTTGCTGATGACATAGTCCTTTTCATCTGTGTCAGGCTTTGGTGAGTCAAAAGCATCAGCAATTCCTCCAATGACATCAATGCTGTTCCTAGGCAGTCTGTGGAATACAAATGCAGGAACCTCCACCTCAGTGTCAGTTTCAGAGTCAACACCGCTTCCCTCTTCAGAATTTGCATTGGTATTAACCTCTGAAGATTTTATCTTAGACCCTAAAAAGTTAAATTTTGGAAGCTTGAAATGTGACGATTTGGGCTTTTCAAGATTGATATCGACATCTGGAGCTTTCACATCTACTTTTGGTCCTTCAATATCCCCTTTTAACGTTGGTGAACTCACATCTACTGCAGGAACAGAGGTGTTGGCATCTGCTGTAGCAGCGCCTATGCTGACCCTGGGTGTCTCTACTCCAGCCTCAACTGAGGGACTGGGAACCTCTACTTCAGAACTTGAAAGATCTAATTCTGGTAGTTTGAAATGAGGCAATGTAAAGTCACCAAGGTGTGGATCAATATCAAGCTCAGGTTTTTTTAACTGTGCATTAGGTCCTTTGAAGTCTGCCACTTCTACAGCTTTTCCTGTGATATCAGGTGCTTCCAGTTCAGCTTCTGGGAGCTTAGTCTGTACGTTTAACAGTGGAAGGTTCCCATCAATCTTTGATGAAGACAGGCTGAGGTCTGATGTGTTCAAACTGAGATTAGGTTGGAGGTCTGCTTTTGGTAGCTCCAGGTTGTGTTTCTCTACATTGATTTTGGGCAAATTAGGGTCCACACCACCATCTAATTTAAGATCAACCTTTGGCTCCTTTACCCTTGGCCCTGAAAAGCCAAAGTTTGGCATTTTTATTTTAAGTGGCTTGAATTTCCCAACTGAGGCATCAACCTCTGGAGCTTCAATGTCTACATCAGGGCCTTTGACATCAGCATTTGGTAAATTAATGTCAAGACCTGTTGTATCAAGTCCGCCTTCAATTTTTGGTGGCGACAAGGATAAATCTGGTGCTTTTAGGTCTACATTTGTTTGACCCAGATCAACTTTAGGTAGGTCAATGCTGGTATC